TCTGTCTATCTGTCGGTCTGTCTGTCTGTCTGTTTGTCTGTCTGTTCTGTCTGTTCTGTCTGTCTGTGTGTCTGTCTGTCTGTCTGTCTGTCTGCCTGCCTGCCTGCCTGTCTGCCTGCCTGGCTGTCTGTCTGTCTGTCTGTCTGTCTGTCTGTCTGTCTGTCTGTCTGCCGGCCTGCCTGCCTGCCTAGCTGTCTGTCTGTCTGTCTGTCTATATCTATATTTGTATTCATGTTTATGTACAACATGTATATGTAGAGAGACAGAGAGAAAAGTCTATGTGCGTGTGTTTGACAATATATGTATGCAGTAACATGCAGTATACCTAAGACCGCATAAGTGCCCAGCCTCGGAAACATCCTTGACGTTGTCAGATTGATTGATGCCTACTCGCCTGTCTCTTACTGCTCCTCGTTTTAATCCTTGTTGCGTTTATGATGTAATGATTGTGCATCTTGTTAGCTCACTCATCTTAGTTATGGTCCCCGTGGAGAGCCGTGGGTATCAAGCAACAGACAGTCGGAGCCGCTTCGATTTGCAGTATCAGGTTTGGTCCTGCTGCCCGTCGCAGTAGTAACAGAGGCTAGGCTTCATGCTAGACTTCACCAAGACTTTCAGGCTACAGGACTATGCAAGGCGCGAAGCACGGATGGGTAGCCCACTTCGGAAGTAGACGCTCGCGTAGGCGAGGGTCAGCACCACATCAGCATAGTGGTATTCGCACAAGTGCATAAGCCGAATGCCCTGCACCAGGAGCAGCATCGACTAGGTCAGGCTTTACTATCAAAGGTCTTTTTGCTAGTTTGCAGATCAAAGGGCAGTGCCAGACATTCCTCCATGCTACCTCTGCAGCCAGCAACAGAGTGGAACTGCTACACTCGTTCCAGGGTCCACAAGTATAAGGACGACCTATGTGGGAGTTTCCGAAAATTAGGGGTACCTTATTTTGGGGTCCTTATAATAAGGATCCTATTATTTAGGGTACTATATTAGGGTCCCCTATTTTCGGAAACCCCCATGTACGGGTAGCAGCGGAGCCACCACCACAAAGTCACCACCACGAGCAGTGCCAAAAATGGCCAAGACTGCAATCTGCCCACCTGGAGGACCTTCTTGTAGAGCGTGTCGTGCTTGGCCGATGACTTCTCAATCGACTTCTCTCCGACTTCTACAGCGAAACCATGAATGAGGCTTGCAAACCTGCGGACCAGGGCGCAGTTCTTTTGGTCTCGGGGTCGTTTTGCGGTTAATTTGCTTATCACGGCAAACTGCACCCCCCCCCCCCCCCCCCACGCATTTCGCTGATTTGCACAAGCGTCTTGCACGCTGTCACGACGACGTAGGACCGAGAGTGTGCTCCGACAACATTGATATGCGAAACATGCAAAAGCAATCTCATCGTAAGTGGCTACAAGGTCTAAGGTCTCTCTTCTTACCGCTACGACTCGAACAGGACTGTTATACTGAATGATTCTGCCACTTGCTGCTGATGACAATTCCGATGACCATGACCACCAGCACTTGCATCACCATGATTGCTGATCTTGTGTTCTTCTTCTCCTTCCCATGAAACTAGGGACCTCTACTTATCAACGTGTTCCTAAACCGAAAACCGCAGGACTGTGTCCTACGCGGCCTCCAAACCAAGACGACATCGTCCTTAAAATGTGCATACCTGCGCCAGCGGAACGTCTTCCTTGAAGGTGTCCATTCCATGCACTCGCAACGAGTCTGGGTGCTCGCGAAGACAACGTGCTCACCGACGCCTGTTGACTTCCTTATTTTCCTTTACCTTTCAGTCATGCGAACACGAGCATATCCATCTGCATTCTCATCGTTCTACACATTGTTGGGATGGTTATACTGCGAATGCAAGGATCGGGAACCGAATGACAGCTGAAACCTGGACCCTTAACCTTGACATGGGCACTTGCCGATGTCCGGCTTGCACGACAGAATGTCGTCTGCTTCGTCCCCACGCTCCGATGGCCGCTCCTGCTCCAAAAACTAAGAGGCACGAGACACTAGAGCATGGGGGGTGACAAGGCGAAGCTTCACAGATGCAGCGGTCCTTAGGCAGTTTGCCTGAGCGGTGCCCTCTGGGAGCGGCTATGTTTCCGTGCGCCGGCAGCGTTGCGCTGCCCTCCACGTCGCGATGCCGCAGCCTAGCGATGCAGGAGCATCGTTTCGCAGGACTCGAAGACTCCAAGAACTCCAACCCCAGCACCCAAAGCCCAAGCATTCTTTGACCTTCCCTAACAGGGTTCCCTTAAAGGGTTCCCTTTAGGGGTCCCCGTCGAGTACCCTTTAGTAGCGGGGATGATGCCGGCCGTCGTCACCTTCATGAACGTCATCAATCTCAGCAGCATCCCCAGCACGCCATGCTGACGCACGAGCCTTCGCTGTCTACTCAGAGCCTACTCCGATGGAGATAAGGTGCCCAAGCTCAAGTCAATAAAATCGCACCTGACACCGCCACCCGACTGCGGCAGCGCATCGTCCAGGAGGGAATACCTTACATCTCTTGGGTTCGAGGTGGGCTTCAGGGCATACTGGTTGCGAAAAACGGGTTGTCGCACGAGCGACTAATGCGGTCACTATTGCTATGAAGAGTCTTCTTGCGATTGCAACGCGAATGCGTTTACTACTGCTCCTTCTGCTGCTGCTGCTGTTGCTGTTGCTACTCCTACTTCTACCCTTAGTCCTAGTCCTACTCCTACTCGCTACGCTACCCTGGCATCTCTAGTTCTGAGTTGATGGCCCAACATCGCGCTGGAGAAACTTGAGGGCTCGGTCAAGCTTGGAGTGAACCTGGCCAAGACGATGCACGAGCTACGAATAGCACTACAAGCGATAGGGCCTCCGAGATGGCGAGCTCATTCTCTGTCTGCTGTGGAAGCAAGGCGAACCTGCAGGACTGAGGCATGATGGTATGAGCGTACAGAAGCTGCACCGATGTCCCAAGCATCTTCCGCGGCAGGATACTAGGTTTTTTCCGGCAGACAGTTGCAACAAGACGGCTTGCGCCAGTCTGAAGCTTCATGCGAGCCTTTGTATCTCACATATCCATTGAGCTTTGGTGCTCCGGTTTCTCACTCCAAACCCTAAACTAGATTTCCCTAAACCCAAACATTCAACCCTGAACCCCAAACCCTAAACATCACTAAACCGTCTCGGGGTGCTAGACTAGGAGTACACTTGCGCTGCAGCAAGCACGCAGCTGCTCGACGCGGCCAACCCAATGCTTGGTGTGAATCCAAGCGATAAGAATAATGATCATAGTAATGAGAACACGAATAGCATCATAATGAGTAGCAGTGCTGAGTAATAGCGGTGCGAAATGGCGACAAATACTAGTGGCGTGTCATAAAACATCATAATAAAATAGTGCTAGGAGGAATAACAACCTTAACAGCTGTACTATCACAATAGCAATAAGCATAACGACAGTGTACGACAGTACTACCAATAGTACAAACACATAGCATTGATAAGAATAACAGATATAACTATCACAGTGATAACTAACAATCATCATTACAATCAGAAGAATAGTTGCGATGATGGCAACCATGATAATTGCATAAACATAAGAATGATAGTAGCAGTGGCAGTACGTGTTTCTGCTGCAGGAGCAGTACGAACAGAAGCAATAGTAGCAAGCACAACTGTCGCTGTTCTTACCGCAGTCAAGACCACACTTCAACATTTGGGCTGAGCCGCAGTCCTTTGGACTAAAGCCGAGCACTTACCACGCGAAGGTTTTGCAAATTGCAACTTTGCAAAATCTCAAACTTGTCCACTCCGCTGCGCGACTCGGTGAAACTGATGCGGCATGCGCTCGTCGGGCAGGGTTAAGTTTGCATTGTTGTTGCTGGGGGTGGTGGGTCGAGGATCATGAGCTGTTGCAGGACCGGGAAAGTACTCTCATCTGCTCGCACACCATCTCCCACCACAAGCAGCACTCCAGGCCAAGATGATAGAACCAGTTCTGGCAGCATTCGTTCGAAGATATCCGTGAATGAGATGTAACTTTCAGAACGCAGTCACTTTGAAAAAGGGCCGGCATGAAGCATACGGGTCTTCGGCACATCACTAGGCGTTTCAGAGGCCCAAAGCCGGCAGGTGGTCCTGCCAGGACTCGGCAAGCGAAATCCTGAAATCCACAAGGGGCTCAGAGTTTGGGGTTCTACTGGGTGGATGCCCTAAACCCTAAACCCTGACGAAAGGTGTCCAACTCCGCCGCCCAAAGTGCGTAGAGTATTCCGGTTTGTTTTGGGGCACCACGAAGATGACCCCCCTGCAAAGCACCGAAACAGATTCGAACAGAGTAAACCCGACTCCGAGATTGGAGTATATTGGAGTTCATGGCAAGCAAGACGACGGGCCCCTAGCCTTCAAAGTGCCAACAAAAGGCCAAAGCTAGTAGGCTCGCACAGCCATTGCACCAGCCTTGTTGCCAACTCACTAGTTCTTGACTTGCAGTGCTGCTGACCCCACGGAAGCTCCGCGGACGAGATCATGACGCTTCAAACTGACAATCATCAACTAAAAACCGTCATTGAAAGTCAGGACGCATACCGAAACTCTTGCCACTGTCCTTATGAGTCAGGACGGCCCACCGACTGGTCCCGCTGCAGTTTGAAACACTCGCCTCCCAGGCTCTTGGGTCTAGTCTTGTGGGGGTTTCCACGGCTTCGGGCGCTTCGGGGGTCCGGTCGGGGCCTGCCTAAACCCTGAACCCTTCGGCGGCTGGCGACTGCTGGCCTCTGAGCGTAGAGCCGAGGAGTTGCGACCTGCCCGATCACAGTCTGGGCTTTGCGCTTGGGAAGGTTCCGTTTTGGGTTCCTCTTACTGCCCGATAAGGATTCTTTTGACGGATCCCTAAGGGTTCAGGATGTTTTAGCGTTTAGGCTTTCCGGTTTGGGAATTCGGGCTTAGTTTAGTATTCCGCTTTAGGGACTTGGGCGTGGCATTGAAGCTTGCCGGTTTGATTTGGCGTTGGTTGGAGGCCTCGGGCTTGTCCCAACCTTATGGAATCATGAGAGCAAAGAACCTTAAGAGCCGAAACCCGCCTGTTGTGGAGTCATAGGCCGCATCATCACGAAGGGTCTGCCCGGTGACTGCGCTCGAAAGTCCTCGCATCCCCGGCCCAGTGATGCGCAAGCCTGCCCCACAACACCGCAAAGAAAAGTAAAAATTGAAGCCGCAAGCACCATGCTGATCTTTAAAACACTGCGCATTCATGATGCACAGGAGCGGAGAAGCAGAACCTGGCCACAGCTCTCAACCCAGCAGAGACAAAGCCCAACCTAAAGCCCTCAAACCCTGAACCCTTAACAACTAAAACCCTAATAAATGAACCCCAAGACCCCTCAACGCCGAAAGCCCTGAACCCCTAACCCAAACTAAGATACCGACTCCGCTTGGAAACGCGGCAGCTGGCGTACCTCGTTCGGGACTCTCGGTCTTCCCCAACACCAAAGCCATAGTTCTAGCTTTATACTCTACCAGGCAGTAGACTCTAACGCAACAAACAAGCAACACACGGCCAAAGTATTCTAAACGTATGTATGGGTAGGTGCCCCTTTGCGCATTTACCGGTCTATCTAGCCAGTTACCTGCGTATCAAACTAGTCAACCTGTATCTGTGTGTGTGTGTAAAAATATATGCTCATGTATGTACGCATGCATGTCAATATGTGTGCATGTCGGTATGCAGGTAGGTATTTAGGTCGGTAAGTAGGTAGCTAGGTAGCTAGGTAGCTAGGTAGCTAGGTAGCTAGGTCGGTAGGTCGGTAGGTCGGTAGGTCGGTAGGTCGGTAGGTCGGTAGGTCGGTAGGTCGGTAGGTCGGTAGGTCGGTAGGTAGGGAGGTCGTAGGTCGGTAGGTAGGTCGGTAGGTCGGTAGGTCGGTAGGTCGGTAGGTCGGTAGGTCGGAAGTCGGGAGGTCGGTAGGTCGGTAGGTCGGTAGGTGAGTAGGTCGGTAGGTGGGTAGGTCGGTAGGTGGGTAGGTCGGTAGGTCGGTAGGTCGGTAGGTCGGCAGGTCGGCAGGTCGGTAGTTAGGTCGGTAGGTCGGTAGGTCGGTAGGGGTCGGTAGGCAGGTAGGTCGGTAGGTAGGTGTAGGTAGGTAGGTAGGCAGG